TGTCTTGTTCCTGATTTTAGCATGAAAGTTTTCAGTTTTTGACCATTTAGTATGATGTTGGCTGTTGGTTTTTCATAGATAGCCTTAATCAGCTTACCAGTTGCCTTTTGATGAACATTTTGGTTGCCACCCCCCTCACCCCCAATTACGAACGGGCTGTAATGAACACCTTTGTTTATCTTGTGTGCCTGCTAGCGTTTCTGTCTGATGGAGTCATAGAAGTAGGATTTTGCTGTGCAGGGAAGGTCAAAGTGTATCACAGCGATGTCCTCTGAAAAGGTCATTCCATGGTACAGGAGGGAGCACCCACGTCTCTACCCCTCACCTGCTCTGGATCTTCTAAATCTGTGACAATCTGGGGCAGATGGAGAATCTCACTGTTTTGTGCTTTGACTGTCATAGAGATGGAGTGTTTTTTCACATCTCTATTGATTTTCTGCATTTCTTCTTTCCTTGTACCACCTGCTTCCATCATTCGTTCATTTTTGTATTTTCTCCTTTTCTCTGATTATTCAAGGAACTCTTTGTGTATGCACTTCTTCATGTTGTGTGTGTACTGCCTGAAACTTTTCAAAGCACTCTTGCCATGTATGATAGCACTCACTCTGGTTCCGAGTTGCAGCTTGTGGTGTCAGGACAGTTGGCCTGAAAAGCTCTGGCCTGCCCTGTCCTGCTGGTGACAGTTGGAGTCTGCACTCCCAACCAGGTATCCAGATCTACGTGGAATGGGCTTTTGCTACACTGCAACTCACTGTGCCCATCTTCCAAATCCAGGAGTATTTTGAGAGGGTTCTATTTTTCCAACATCTCTTCTACCCTATTAAAGCTCATGAATGGCCACAGTGTTAAGTCCCCAAGTCCCTGCCACATTGTTCCTGGTTGTCCTGAGGTGGAGTATGGCTTTGCCATTGTGAAAATAGCCATCTGAGTCTTTGAACTTTGCAGATATATTGGGGTGGGGCCACCTGGGTGGATTTTTAGGGCCCTCCTGTGTGCCCCACAGAATTTGTGAAGAGGCTCCGGTACTGCGAATACCTGGGGAAGTATTTCTGTGACGGCTGCCACTCCTATTCGGAGTCCTGCATCCCCGCACGCATCCTGATGCTGTGGGACTTCAGGAAGTACCATGTCAGCAATTTCTCCAAACAGCTGCTCAACCACATATGGCACCAGCCCATTTTCAATTTGCCGAGCATCAGCCACAGCCTCTCCACAAAAGCCAAGGAACTGGACAGGGTAAAGGTGAGAGGGTGAGGGCCTCTAAGGGGAAGTGAGTTTGGCTGGAAAGTGAAGCTCACTGGAATTGCGTGTCACTCTGGCCTTCCCATATAGATGGTCTAGAGGTGGATGACTGACATAAATAAAGCTGATCTTCAGGTTCCTAGCATGCAAGGCCCTAAGGCCTCATACTGAATTATATATAAACATTTTATATATATTGTGATATATATATTTTTACATGCATGCATGCACGCACTTTGGGTTTTTTTGGAAGAGGGCCCCCAAAGTGGTGTGGAACCTTTAGGCTCCACAAAACCTGGTTCCATCCAGGACCCTCTGTGGATCCGTGAGTCAGATATGAACGCCTGCTGCAGAGGCTGATTGCTTCAAAAGTTTGCCTTCCATGGGGTGGTATTTCAAAGTGAGATTTAACATGGACCTGCTCAGTGCCAGAGTCATTGGTCACATTTAACTCTCTCTCCCCTCCCCTGTTTGGTTTCTCATGTTAGGACATCCAAGAGCAGCTCTTTCATATCAAGAAGCTGTTGAAGACTTGCAGGTTTGCTGACAGGTATGATTCTCAGCGGGGACAGCCTGTGCTCTCCTGCTGCTTGTCTGCTGTCCCTGCCCTTCTTGTATGCAAGCCTTCTTAGCACAGTAATTAGTGACACTCTTGGAATGGTAGCCACCTCTTGAAAACTACTAATCCTGCTAAATCACTAGTGCAGAATTTAACTTGTTAAGAAAATAGGCCAGGGCAAGGATGAAAAAACATTTTGGTAAATCCATATAACATAAAATTTACTGTATTAACTATTTTAAATGTATAATTCATTGATATACTCTCATGAGTATACTCTCATGGTGGTGCACACCTATTATCCCAGAACTCTGGGAGACGGAGGCAGGAGAATTGCAAGTTCAAGCACAGCCTGGGTGTTTACTGAAACCCTGTCTCAAAATTTAAAAAAAAAATAATAAAAAAGGATGGGGATGTAGTTCAATGAGAATTAAATTTCTGTACCACAAAAAAGGTACGTTCCCATCATTATGTGATCATTACTGCCTATCTAGAGAACTCTTCATCTTACAAAACCAAAACTCATTTATAACTTTTAAACACTGACTGCCTCCCCCCAAGTCTCTGGCATCCACCTTTCAATTTTCTCTAAAAATTTGATTACTTCATGTACCTCATCTAAGTGGGGTGCTACAGAATTTTCGTTTTGTGACTGGCTTATTTTACTTATTACATTCCTAAGGTTCATCCATGTTGTAGCATAAGTCAGAATTTCCTAAATAATGTCCTACTGTAAGTCACCCACCCACCTGTGCTTACCCATTCACCCCCTGAAGGATGCTCGGGCTGCTTCCACTTCCTGCAAGTAATGCTGTGAGCCTAGGCATACTGAGACCTGTTAAAATCCCCTCCCACAGGGACTTGAAGCAGGTCCACCTGGGCAAGACCATGGCCTCCAGAAGGTATTTGTAGACGCATATCCTAAGGACATATTACTGATATGGGTAGAGATTTAGCTAAACTGTAGTGGAGAAGTTTAGCTAAACTGTAAGTGAGAAGTCCACCAAAAGATTCCAAAAACTAATAAATTTAGCAAGGTAGAAGGATACAAAATCAACACACAAAAATAAACACCGTTCCTGTATACCTATAATGAACCCACAGAGAAAGAAATTAGAGAAATAATGCCATTCACAATATCTTCAAGAAAAATAAATTTTAGGAATTAACTTTATCAAGGAAGTGAAAAACTTCTATAGTGAAAACTATACCATAGTACTCTGAAAAAGGAGACCAAACCAGACATCAGAAAATGGAAAGATATCCCTTGTTCCTGGATAGACAGAACCAATATTCTCAAAACGGCCACACTTCCAAAATTGATATACAGATTTAATGCAATCCCAGTCAGAGTACTAACAGCACTCCTCACAAAACTAGATAAAATCCTGCAATTCATATGGAAACAGAATAGACACAATAACAAAAGCCATCCTGGACAACAAGAGCAAAGCAGGAGGCACTACAGCCCTAGATCAAGCTACGGTGATAAAAACAGCATGTTACTGGCACAAAACAGACATGTGGACCAGTGAACCAGAATAGAGGCTACAGAAACAACCCCAGGCACATTCAGCCATCTTATCTTTGATAAAGTTATCATTCCTGGAGGAAAGATAACTTCTTTAGCAAAAGGTGCTGGGAAAACTGGCTACAAATATGCAGGAGATTGAATCTAGACCTGTATCTTTCACCATGTTCTAAACTAAAATCAAAACGGATTAAAGATCTAAATATTTAAAACAGAACATCTAATCTGCTGGAAGATAAAATAGGTAAAACTCTTGATGACACAGGGATAGGCAATGACTTTCTGAACAAAACCCCAGTTGCACAAGAAATAGCATAAATAATCAACAGATAGGATTATAGCAAATAAAAAGTTTCTCCAAAGCAAAGGAAACAACCACCAGAGTGAAGGGACAACCTGCAGAGTGGGAAAAAATTTTGCCAGCTACTACTCCTTGGACAGAGAACTAAAGTCTAGAATATATAAAGAACTAAAAACTTAGACCCCCAAAATAACAGACCCAATCCAGAAATGGGCAACTGAAATGAACAGACACTTCACAGAAGGAGAACAAATGACCAATAAATACATGAAATAATGTTCACCATTGCTGGCCATTAGAGAAATGCAAATTAAAATAATACTTAGATTCCATTTTACTCCAGAAAGAATGGTTATTATCAAGAAATCAAACAATAACAAATGCTGGCAAGGCTGTGGGGAAGAAAAGAACCTTTCTATATTGCTGGTAAGAGTGTAAACTGGTACAATTACTATGGAGATTCTTAAAAAAACTAAAAGTAAAAATTTCACTGGACCAGTGATTCCACTTCTAGGCATCTTCCTGAAAGAGTTAAAGACTTCATATTACAGTGATCCATGCATGCCCATGTTCATAACAGTGCAACTTATAATAGCTAAATCTTGGAAGTGACCTTTGTGTCTATCGGCAGATGAATTGATAAAGAAAGTGTGGTATTTATACACAATGGAGTACTACTTTGCTATAAAGGAGGATAAATTTGAGTCATTTGTAAGAAAATGGATGCACCTTGAGACCATAATATTAAATAAAATAAATATACAAGCTTAAATATCACATAGGTTTTCTCATACAAGAACCCCAAAGAATAAATAAAGAGCAAAATAAAAGGTAGATATTAGGAAACAGGGAGTGGATAATAGCAAACAGGGAGATGGATTTTGCAAATGAGAAGGGGACTAACGGAGGGGAGAGAAGGGAGAATGAGATGTAAAAGGGGTTAAAATATGTACACATACCAACTCCCCATGATGAATGTAATCATGTACTGCAAATCTGTACTAATAAAAATTTTTTTTAAATACAAGAATTAAGATTAAAAATCTACCAGGTGTTCAGTAAAAGTGATACTTAAATTGAAGCCACGTGTATAGTATAGAATGGTGGACAGCCAATAAAGTTTTAGACATGAATTAATTGAGAGATTTTTAAGTGGAAAACAGATCATTCAAGGGAGCTAAGATTATTTTTATAATAGATGGAGTCACGGGGTCTTAAAATTTTTTGTTTTGTGTTAAAAGCTTTTTTTCAGTTTTTGATCTTTATTTCATGATGACATATTGCTTTTGGATTAAATTTCTTGGGAAAAAGCATGTATATTATAGTGATTGGGCCTTAAGCCTCTACCTTATGCCTTGACAATGACAGCTTAATACTTTTCAGGGTCTTAGTTTTCTCATCAATGACTTGTTAACAAGACCACGTGTCTTCCCCTCTACAAAAATTTCTTGAAATTTCTAAAAAGAAGATCCGTAAATCTAAGTTAAGTATGAGGGAAAGTCAAATAGAATCTTGCTAGACTGTGTGTTACACACACGTGTGCACACGCAAGGTGCCCTGAGGATGCAGCAGAGGTGGCTTTTAGCTCAGTTAGGGGCAGACAGTGAGCAAGACTTCCTGGGGAAAACCCTAAGCCTCAAAGGTAAGTTAGAGCCAGGAAGAGGGAACATGGAACCTTGAGGTAGAAGATGAAACGTGAGCAGATGACCCAGGCAGGGGGCAGAATTAAAACCAGTGTGGCATTAACGGTGCCAAGTCCATTGTAGACTCTGACTGGCTTGGGAATCGGATGAGTGACACTGCCAGTAACTGATTTAAGGAATTCTGGAGACTGGGTGGGTTTGAAGATTAAGTTTTAGATGCCCTTGGGATATGTAAGTGACCTTGATGGCCAGCAGTTGGGTGAATGGGTCTTGAGCTTAGTGCTGGACTCAGTGATTTGGAGTCACCCACCTTTTTGTGCACAAGAATTCCCTTCCCAGCCGAGGCCACAGTCATTGACGCTAACAGACTTGAAGTTTGGCTGGAAAGAAGAGAATTGTCGTTTTGAATACTTGGTAATCAAACAGTATATGGTCCACATTTTTCAGATTTAATCAAATGTTCTGTTTTCTTTTGTTCAGGGCAGGCATGGCATGGGCAGATATTCTCTCCCCATTCACTCCTTGGTATCATCATTTATGGAAGTTTAACGTCTTTCTGGCTTCCTAGCAGATTTGAAAAATGTAGAGTGGTGATCAAGGTTCACTATTGTTCTCAGAGCTATTTTTTTAAAATTGTGTTTAAAAATTGAATGTGAGTGCCAAAAGCAAACACCGGGCTGTCCTTCCCTGCTCTGTGGGCCTTCTGAGCTCCTCTGCTTCCTCCCTTGCAGCGTATTAAAGGAGTTTGAGCAGGTGCCCCAACACTTGACGGATGAGCTCCACCTATTCTCCCTGGAGGACCTCGTCAGGACCAAGAGAGGGCTGCTGGCGCCCTTGCTCAGGGACATTCTGAAAGCTTCCCTGGCACACATAGCCAGCTGTGAGGTAAGAGTTTGCCCGGAGCAGGTGTGACCCTGAGCTGTTCCTTACCCCAGGACCAGTGCTGCATGCTCTGCACTTGACCCCACACAAAGCTCACAAACCTAGAGGGAAGCACTGTGAATAACAATCCTGCTGGCAACTGGCAGGGCTGGTACACAAAGCTGGGGGCCTGCAGCTTCTCCATCTGGGCGCTTAGCCCTGCTTAGAACCCAGTCTTCCTTGAATCAGCTGCATAGACTCTGATCCAATGAAACAAACAGCTTTGTGCCTATATGAACTGCAGGGTTCTGGTGCAGCAATCAGAAATGGACCTCCATCATTAGGACACAGGATTAAAGCTGGGTGTGGTAGCATGCCTGTAGTCCCAGCTACTTGGGAGGCCAAGGCAGGAGAATCACTTGAGCCCAAAAGTTCAAGGCCAGAGGCCCACAAGTTGAACACACCTGGCTTCCCTGGGCTGCATGAAGAGGAATTATCTTAGGCTGCATATAAAATGTATAATATAGTTAATGTATATAACCAAATTTCCTTTTTTTTTTTTTTGGTACCAGAAATGGAACTCAGGACCTTGCACTTTCGAGGCAGGTGTGGTGCCACTGAGCTAAATCCCCAGCCCGTAAAATTTCCTTTTAAAATATATTTTTGGTGGTTTTTTTTTTTGGCAACGGGGATCATTTTAAAAATATTTTTAATTATGACACAGGTATGTCCAGTCCACAGGCTGCAGGTTGGATATATGTCTAAGAGGCTCATCTTAGTCACTTTCCTCATTGCTGGGCAAAATGTCCAACACCCACAACTGAAATGAAGAGAGGTTCATTTTGGCTCAGGTTTTCAGGCCATGATCATCTGGTTCCAAGGCAGAAACAGTGAGATGGAAGGGTCTGCCAAAGGTGTTCACTTCACAGCAGCCAGGAAGCAGAGAGGGAAGGAGGAGCTACAGAGGGTGATGTCACACCTCAGTGACCCGCCTCCAGCCAGGCCCTGCCTCCTAACAGCAAGTTGGCTCTGTCGCACCCACCCAGGAGTCAGTCACCTTCCAAAGCCCCACCTCTGAATGCATGAGCCATCTGGGGGACATTCACAACTAAACCATGAGAAGGCTAAAATCACAGACATTCAAAACCTGATGCCTATGAATTCTGTCAAAGTGATAACTTAGTTTCTCCATCAAGAGAAGCACTACCAGTTTGTAACTTTTTCATGCCTTCCTTACAGCTGTGTCAAGGAAAGGGCTTCATTTGTGAATTTTGCCGCAGTACAACTGTCATCTTCCCATTTCAGACTGCAACATGTAAAAGATGTTCAGGTATTTTAATAACTTCATAACATAAACTTAATAATAGTTTAACTTATTGCAAAGTTAATTTGTTATAATAATAAATCACAACATTAGTTTAAGCTGAATAGCTTAATAATTTAAACAGTTACCTTGTTTTCAGCAAGGATTGAACCTAGAGTCTTTGCAGTGAGCTATACCCCAGCCCTTAAAAAAAATTTTTTTCTAATATTTTGAAACAGGGTCTCCTAAGTCCCTGAATTTACCAGGCTAGGCTCAAACTTGTAGTCCTCCTGCCTTAGCTTTCCAGAGTGCTGGGACTACAGGTGTGTACCTCTGCTAGTTACTTTACAGTACTCTGATGCTAGTGTGTGCTTGTGTGGTGAATTGCCAATCAAATGGTTTTGGGCACTCAGGGAAGGAATATTTGGGTGGTACAGGAACAAAGGCTGATGTCTCTTGGGGATTTGGATAGAGCAGATGTTCCATTCTTGCCCATGCCTGGCTCTGCTCTCTAATTGGATCACAGTCACACCCCACATTGAGGCGCTGTCCTGACCACCTTTGTGTTGTGACAGTGGAGTTGAGTAGCCATTACAGGCACTGTACGGCCCTGGAGGCCTAAAACATTTACCATTTGGCTCTTCACAGAAAGGGTTGCTGACCCTTATTCTCAGATATGAATGCTCAAGAGAATCACATGCTTTCTAAGCTGTTTCATGGGAGTTTGCTATTGGATTCTGCCTTCACCCTTGACAAGGGACAGAATCTTTGTAGGCCACCCTCACATTGTTTTCCCCAACCTGTCGAGCACCATAGTATTCCAGGATGGATTCTGCAAAACAGAGACTCTGAGGCAGGGATCTGTGTGCCAAGTCTCATGCTTCTCTGTCTGTGTAGCTGTGGAGAGGTTTTGCGTGTGTGAAAGAAGCAGGACTGAGTACAGGGAGAAGTTGAACTATGGTGTGGTTGTACTGAAGGCCCCAGACCATCCAATGGGAGCTGGGGAGCTGCGGTGGCCCTTAAGCATTGTCCCAACTTGGGGCAGAATGCTGGGTTCCTCTTCAGACTCCACAGTGACAGTCACTTTATACAGGCAGCGCCAGCAGCGGGCATGACCTTGGACAAGGCCTCTGTTCAGGGCCATTTCCAAAGAAGCAGCTCCTCTCCCAGAGCCATCAGCCACCATGCGAGGCTGCTGGAGCGCCAGCCTTTGTGCCTGGCAGATCCAGGGGCTCTGTGCCATCTCCTATGTCTGTCAGCCTCTCTGGGCCTCATGTTCTTCATGTGTGTGAGTCTCAACTGGGTGGTTTCTGTTTAGAAGACTGGTTCTGGATTCAGATGCTCACTGTCCCTCCCTAGCGCGAGAATGAGCACCTGCACAACTGTACCTACATGACAAAACAAGACCGTGCTTGCTAACGCCGATCCCCTTGCTTGCAGCATGCCGGGCCTGCTTTCACAAACACTGCTTCCAGTCCTCGGGCTGCCCCCGGTGTGCGAGGATCACAGCTCGGAGAAGACTTCTGGAAAGTTTGCCCTTGGCAGCCACGTGATGTCCCAGCGTCTCATGAAAAAGACTGTTCCATGCATCTTACATGACACGATTTGTGTCTTAGTATTGGTCATGTTGTTTTGGGCATCAAGAGTCTCCTCATTTTATATATTTGATGTTTTGGAAGAATACAGTCTTTGTTATTAAGTAGAGTCATTACTAATAGTGTTGTTTACAAATGTTTGACATTTTTGCTGCTACTGGTTTCTTTTTAAACAGTTTTGTTTCTGATATTTCTTAAATTTTATTAGAATGGGTGTATCTAGCTAATTTCTGAGCCTCCTCCCTTTTTTATAAATTGTAACTGACAAGATGAATTACTCAGTTCTTCCTTTAAAACTCGTTTGTTAAAACTGGTAATTTCAATGAACAAAAATGCAACCAAAGATCTGTTGGCTCAGGCTTTTTTCCTTCAGGAAACAGACTTCTACTTAAATACAACTTTGTGATTGCGTTGGCCTCACTCATTTATTCCACTTCTGCAGTTACATCTATTTCAATATGAGTTTGTCTCAGCAAGGCATAGAGATCCAGTAGAGATGTAATTTGAAGTAGCTGCCTCTAGATGGCACCGTTTCAGGTCGTGTACAACCAGCCTGTATTTGTTAATGCGATTTCACGTAAGTCCCTATTTCACATTAGTCCCTCACTCAAGGGAGGTAAATAGAACTTCACCTTTTACCTCATAGATATAAAAAACTGAACATAAGTTATTTGAAGACTTAAATAAACTGGGAGAAAATACTCTTAATGAACAATATGCCCCTAGTAATAACGCTAGGAATTGTGGATAAAAATTAATAAGGTTAGATGAAGTAGACATGGTGGCACATGTCCGTAATCTCAGCTCTCAGGAGGCTGAGACAGGAGGATTGCAAGTTCGAGGCCCATCTGGACTACATATCAAGTTCAAGGCCAGCGAGACTCCGTCTCAAAAACACCCTAAATATTTATGATAATAATAAATAAAGATGAGGTGAACTGCAAAACTTTTTTGAATTTCTTTTTCCCAATGCTTTTCATATTTATATGCCTTCCTGAAACATGTTTATATCCCCTAAAATGGCCATATATCAGCATCTCCATTTTACAGGTGAGGAAACTGAAGCTTAGAAAAGAGAAACAACTTAGCTGGGTCCCTTTGGGTAGTATGTAATAGACCTGGGCTGACAGTTGAGTCTGCCTGCCTCCAAAGCCTGTGTTCCTAGTGCAGAATTCCGGGGACCTTTTAAAGAATATGAGCAGAAACAAAATTAACTTATGCTGAATAACCCTACATCAGTGGCATGGTGGGAGTGCTTTCTACATTGTTCCCTTGAGTTGAGTTGAGGTAGCTGCTGTGGCTCAAGGATGCTGTGTTTGTGAGGCACTTGTTTATAAGTCAGGTGTGGGCATATGTACACGCATGGGTGTGTATGTTGTATGGTTGTATGTGATGCATCTTTGATTAATACCAAAGAGCGCACAGTCATTGCCAGAAGAATGAGGAAGAATGAGGTAATTTAAATAACCACTCTGCAGCTTGGGTCCTCCCCAGCATGGCAGCGCAGGCTCCCACTGATGAGGTGTCTGTGGGAGTGGAGAAATGACCCTCAGCCCACTGGCAGCACTCAGTAGGGAAGTAATCGACTGCACATGCACTGCTGTTTAATGGGATTCATTTGACTCTTCCTTAGCTGCTGGAGGGAACTTTGTGTTTCCCATCAGCTCATCCATCGTCCACTGTGAGGCACTGTTACAGTGTTGTGATCCTCAGTGATTAGTTTCCTGCCTCTACACTCGTCAATTGGACAGGACCAGTAAGCTGTCATTTACAGTGGAGATTCTCTCCAGCAGGGAGAAAGTTATACCACTGTGAGGCAGAGTATGTGGGGTGAGGAAGGTGAGCCTCCCAAAGACGTGCCAGTATGTTGACCTGAGTGAGAATTACTAGCCAGGACTTTGGATAGAGTCTCAGAACTGCTGCTTCCTACCTGTGCAACTCTGGGTAAGCTACTTCACTGGTCTGAGCTCCATTTGTAAAATGAGGGATTAATGCTGTATGCAGTTGAGATGAAAGTGAAGCACCCAGAAGAGGGCTTACTCTAAGGAAGGACCCAGTAGGTGATAATAATTAGGTGCAGACAGGTTAGAAACTGAGTCATACCACCTATTTTACATACCTCTGGGAAAGTTACTCTGAATCAGTTTAGAGTATGAGGATTAGAACAATGCCTACTAGTACGTGTTAAACTGTATTCCCCAAAATACGTTGGAGTTCCAATTCCAGGCACCAGTGCCTGTGGCTTATTTGCAATAAGACTCTTAGACATGTAATTAAGTTAGGGTGAGGTCATGTTGGATTAGGATGAACTTTGATTCAATAACTAGTGTCCCTATAAGACGGAAGTGTGGACAGAGATATAGACACAAGCACAGGGAAGGATGGAGAAAGGAATTGGGTGATGTACCTACAAGCCAAGGAACACCAAGAATTGCTGGCAGTCACCACTAGTGAGAGAGTCATGGAGCAGATTCTTCCTCAGAGGCTTCAGAAGGAACTAACCTTACTGACACCTTGATTTTGGACTTCTGGCCTCCAAAATTATGTGAGAATCCATTCCTCTTGTTCCAAATTACCCTGTTTGTGATCATGTATTATGGCAGCCCTGGGAAACTGTCTAAGTTACTTTCCTGTCACTGGGACAAAATACCCAACACTCACAATTTAAAGGAGAAGAGGTTTATTTTGGCTCATGGTTTCAGACATTTCAGTCCATGGTTGGCTGGCTGAAATGCAGAAACAGCATGGTAGAAGGACCAGCAGTAGATGAAAGCTGCTCATGTTATGGAAGCCAGGAAGCAGAGAGAGAAAGGGGAGCTGAGGATGGAGACACACTTTTCCATGTCACATCCTCAGTTACCCGCCTCTTCTGATTGGCCTACCTCCTAATGCACATTCAGCTCTAAAATCTTCAGTGGATTCATCCACAGATGAGTATGGTGCCCCTGTGATTCAGTCACCTTCCATACACATGGGGCTTTGAGAGGGACACTAAATCCAAACTATTTCAGAAACTAACACATCTATCCTGTTGTTTTTACTTTTGTTTTTTATTTTTGTGTTTTTAAGACAATGCTGCATTGTGTAGTTCAGGCCAGCCTTGCACTTGCTATGTAGACCCAGCTGTTTTAAAATAGGGATCCCCTGCCTCCTCTCCTTGAGTGCTGGGATTACAGATGTGTACCACCACACTGAGCTCACATCTACCATTTGAGGTTGTTATGAGGTTAAATGATGAGTGAGTAGTGTACGTGGGAGAAGTGCCACAGTTCCTGGCATGCAGAGGCCTGAGCAAATATTGGACTTCTAGCCTTCAGCTGTCAGAACACAGGAGATGGATCCTGAAACATGGTGCTGATGTAAAGGCCTGCACCATCTGTAGGTTTGTGGGTGCACAGAGACATGATACAGGGCAGTAGCAGCTGAATGTGGCCCTCTCTACTCTCTAAGCTCTTAAGTATTGGAGAGAGCTGGTTAACCTCCAGGTGTTGGGAGCTGGCCATGAATTTGGAAGGCAGTGGTTTGGTGGAGGGGATAGAAAAGCTGCCAATTATCTCACATGAGAAAGCAGAAGGGTCCCATCTTGATCTTCAGATGGAGAGAAAATTAAAACGTATCTTCAAATAAAGCTCCCTCCTCCCTCATGGTCTTCATAGAGCTATGGACAGATTGATGGGAACTAGGGGAGACCTGTTCCTGTCTGACATAGTCTGTTTTCTATTCTATAAGAGAATAGCACAGACTGGGTACTTTATAAAGAAAGTAAGTTTATTTGGCTCACAGTTCTGGAGGCTGGTATGTCCAAGAGCATGGCGCCCACATCTGTTGAGGGCCTCATCAACATCACATCATGGCAGAAGGGCAAGTGAGCATGCACGAGACAGGGAGAAGGAAAGAAAATTGGAGCAGATTTATCGTTTATCAAGAATCCACTGCCGTGACAGCTAATCCTTAATGCATTCGTGAGGTAGAACCCACATGGCACAGTCACCTGTTAAAGGCCCATCTCTCAACTCTATTACATTAGCAGTTAAATTTCCACATGATCCATGCAGGGCCATTTAGAGCATAGCATTGTCCAGGCTGGCTCAATGCTGGATGCTGTGAGTGTTCTGTGTGCAACTTGGGAGAAGTTCTAGCAGCTCCTGCCTGCTGGGGCTCACCTAGAGGACTCAGGAAGAAAGAGGGTTAAATGGAAGGTGTTGGGATGTTGGATGGGATAACTTTGCCTACAAATGACCCTGCAACAGGTCACTCTGTAGACCTTTACTGGAGGGGTTTAAAGTGTACAGTTCTCTGACATAAGGAGCCAGTTTAGAACAGGACTCCATTTGCCAACCACGTTGGAGGCATCACTAGGATGCACAACAGAGGGAAGGAGGGAGTGTGCACTGTGAAGAGAGGTCCATTGCAGAGAGCCATGTATCTTTTGAAGTGTAGATGGGAGGAGGGGCTCAAAAGGTACTGGGTAGTGGTGCTGCTCAGCCCTGCAGTGGAGGGTAAGGCATGGACTCTGCTATCAAGGGTGCACATACTGTATATCTAAATGTTTATCACCTTCCTGCCTGCTGACTATCAGAGGTACATGCACGAGTGTTCCATCAGGTGGCTTGAACTACCAGCGTTATGAATGGATCTAATCCCTTTTATCTGTCTTTTCACTAATACAATTAATAAACAGTCTCTAAATAGACCACATCTAGTTAGTTGCTTGAAATTGAGTAATTACTTTCCAAGAACAAATATTAATGCTATTCATACACATTTTAAAAATTATTATAATAATAAGTTTATTTCATTAAATTGATTTATATTCATGAATAGTTTATCTAAATTTTAACATGGAAATCTTACAGTTATCCTACTGTAGGTGTACATAATATGCATTTATAATGGCTGTGCCACAAATTAGCTGTATTATAATTTTTTTACACTGTCAGATGCTTCCACCGTGGCTTCCTGCCTTGGAGCTAGCCAACTATGGACTAAAAAAGTGAGCCCCAATAAACTTCTTTTCAGTTGTGGGTTTGAATATTGTGTCCCAACAACTAGAAAGGACTGAGACAGATTCTGATCACTGAAGGCTGAGCCAGACTCCCACTGAAGAGGAAGGAAGGCAAGGGTCCCCTGTGAAGAAAAGCAGCCTGGGGGTGGTGTGGTGGGACACCGGGCCACTGTGCAGGACAAGAAGGAGGCTGTGGGACTTGGTGGGGAATGAAGCTGCAAGGGGAAGATGAGCCCGCAACATGGAGCATGGTGACCAGGAGGCTGGGGAGGGAGGACCCTGAAGGCAGCAGGAAGTGCAGGGATATGAGGGAGAGATGGGCACAACTCAGCCTATAC